TCAATATTTTCAGTAGCTTCTCGAATCCTTTGTCAGGCACACCATTCTCTGCCTTCCACTGCAGCAATTCTAGTACGGTACCGAGCTTTGTGTTGCCATCTTCGCAATTGGGGTACAAACTTTTTTTGTGATCCTCTAACATGCGATCGAACTTCAGCTTCTCTTTTTCACTTTCGCATTGTCTCCTTGCATCAACAATGACCCGGCGGAGATCATCATTGGGCACATCGTCTGGTTCCTCTTGATCTTCAACAGCTTCCCCCATTGCAGCATCACCGTATTCAGGGGGCACATAGTTGTCATCGTCCTCTTCTTCTTCTTCTGTCTTCCATCATAACCCCTATTTCTCCGTGCTTGGTCCAAACATTATAGTGTGGCATGAAAGCCTTATAAAGCAGGTGGGTGTGAAGGGTTTTCAAGTCATAGTAAGACTTCGTATTCCCACATATAGGCATGGACAACACATAAAACCATTCTGCTTGTTTGCCTCAGCCACTTCGAGAAAATTATGCACGCCCTTAATGTACTCGGAGGTGTGTCTGTCACCGTACATCCATTGCCGGTTCATCTACGTGCATTATATATAATTAAGTGTGTCAAAAACCATTACAAAACATCATGAATAGATAATTTAGTGACCAAATTAATAGAAGTTAATCATCACATTAAAACCAAAGTACATACATAGTTCTCATTGAACAACATATAGCTCTCCAGAGCATCTAATAAAACCATACATTGAAACTATATAAAACATTTCAATGCGAAAACAAATGCGATCATAACCGCAACCAAGGTAACAATTGATCCAACGGCATAATGATACCAAGCCTCCGTATGAATGGCATATTTTCTAATCTTTCTAATCTTCAAGTGCATTGCATCCATCTTGATCTTGTGATCATCGACGACATCCGCAACATGCAACTCCAATATCATCTTCTCCTCCTCAACTTTTTTTTATTTTTTCCTTCAAGTAATTGTTTTCTTCTTCAACTAAATTTAACCTCTCGACAATAGGGTCGGTTGGAATTTCCAGTTCATATACCTCCTAGATAAATAAAATCTATGTCACGTTGGTCGGCATAATTGTCATAAGCAATAAATGAACCAAATAGTTATAAAAGATAATATATACCACATCCAAATCATAGACAGGACGAGGGCCGACGGGGGCGGATACCAAAACCATCGCACTATATAATAAGAAGCAATAATAAAAGTAAGAAAGTTATACAAGTATCTATCTAAACATACAAGTAAGAATTTTTTTCCTTTCAGAAAGAAGATATGAACAAGAGGCTCACCACGGTGGTGCCGGCGACGAGATGGGCGCGGGCGATCGACGGCGTGAAGACGGGGACGGGGCGTGACGGACCACTAAATCTAGACAAATATTGAGGAAAATGGAGCTTGTAGAGGAGAAAGCTTAAGTAGTGTGGCTCGGGCATTCCATCTAACACCTCATGTGCATAGGAGGTGAGCTAGAGCACCACAAAGCCCTCCCCTCGCCGGCCAGAAAAAACAGAGCCGTGTGGAGTGCTTTGCTCGCCGGCGAGGGGTATATATAGGTATCACATTGGTCCCGGTTCATGGCTGGAACCGGGACTAATGGACACCCTTTCGTCCCGGTTCAAGCCACCAACCGGGACCAATGGTGGTGGGCCAGGAGCGAGGCCCATTGATCCCGGTTCGTCCCACAACCGGGACCAAAGGGGCAGACGAACCGGGACCAATGCCCCCACGAGGCCCGGCAGGCCCCCTGGCCTCATGAACCTGGACTGAACCGGGACTAATGGGCTGACCCGGCCTGAACCAAAGCCCTGTTTTCTACTAGTGCAAGATCACCTGAAGCATCAGAAGATCACGGGCTTGGCTTTTGCTTCGGAAGCTGGAAGCCCAAGTATGCTTGTCCAACTCATACGGTAGGACTTGACTATTTTCTTTTCTTTTGCGGGTAGTAGAATTTGACCTCGCTATGTATACTACGGCCATGTTTGGTTCGGCTGTGGATTTTTAAAAGCAGCTGTGAAAAATACGCTGTAAAAAAATAGCTGTGGAAAATTTGATGTGAAAAAGATGTAGGTCATTTGGCAAACCAGCTGATACAGCTTTTTTTAGATTTTGGCCCGTAGCAAAATCAAATTTTGGAAAGCACGTCCTGGGCTGCTTCCGCTTTTGGTTCAGATTTTGGCAGCGGATTTCTGGAATCGGATTCTGCTAGGTTTGCCCTTTGGTTGAGATTCTGCTGCGCGGCAGCGGAATCCGTCGATAAAAGCTGAACCAAACAGGGCCTACGGCTCAGGATTTGACTTATTTTTTCTTTTGCGGGTAATAAGTAGAATTTGTACGGCTGAAGGTCTTATCTACGCTAATTGTACAATGTTGCTGTCTCTTTCACGGAAATATATATTAGATTCCTTATATGTCCTTTCTCTTTTTTCATAGGACTAGTTTTTTGATAGCAAAACTGGTGGTCCATGTGCCTTATGTTGTTCTGCATATCCACATACACGTGACCTAGTGACGTGGAAGTTCTATATGTTGCTCCATACGTACATGTTTTTATGTTACGTAAAAACCGTTAAATCTTAGTTATTATTATTTTAATCAAATGATGTAAATAATATTAGCATATGTGGACGAACCTAATGGATTGTTTGCCTGTTTTGTTATAGTTATATAATAGAAGATTCCTCTCATCGGCCCAGAAACTCTCGTTGCCGTGTCATGAACAACATCTCCAGATAGATACGGTCGTATGAGAACATCCTCCTACAGTGCTACAGGCGGGCTGGAGCAGAATTAAGGGCGTTTCAATATGTGGGCAGCAAAATTTCATGTTTTGACCCTTATCTAAAAGTTAATCGAGATCTGACCCTAATTTATAAAAAATTCGGATCTGACCCTTTTGTTACCGTCAGGGTTCATGGCGGTAGGGTGTAACAGCCTACCGCCAAGGTCCTGGCGGTAGGAACACACCTATCGCCAAATAGGCTGGCGATACGTTGTACAATCCTACCGCCAAGATGCCCGGCGATAGGTGCGAGCACGCACTGTGTTTCATACTTAAGAAAAATTTACGGTAGGGCGTGCAACCCTACCGCCAGTGGCCTTGACGGCAGGCTGTTATACCCTACCGCCATGGATCCTGGCGGTAAAAAAAAGGTCAGACCTCAAAAATTTTGCAAGGCAGGGTCAGATCTCGATCAAGTTTAAAAAAAAGTGAAAACACGAAAATTAGCCTCTCTGGGCACTTGACAACCGAATCTGGCATCCTTGTGCCACAGCCAGACACACTACTGGTACAGTAGTAAGTACTGTACTGCTCTCTAATTTGGGCTTGGACGATTCTCGTTGCTGCAAAGGTTGGTAGTACGTCCAGGCTGAGACATGTTGAACTTATTAGTGGTGCATGTGGCGGTGCAATCTGGGCTTAAGATAAAATACTCCTCCTCTTTCGGGGCCATGTTGATTAGTGGGGCGGTTAAGATACTCTCAGCTGGGGCATGGGTGGTGGATTGGTTCTTGGCTCGTGCAAGTTGCAGGAAGATGTCGCTCCCGAGTACACGGTACCAGCGCACCGGCAAGCAAAGGACAAAAGCAGCCCGGGCCAGGCATGTACGATGTGGAACTGGAAGCCATTTGATGTCTACAACACAGTGGACAAAAATAAGCTGCGTTTTCTGGCCTCAATTAGACGACTTGAGCAACGCACGCATAATCCAGGCCTACTACTTACCTGAACGGAATTCTCCACACACACACAAAAAAAAAAAACTCTGGCCTGAACGAGCTCCCTCTCGCGCCTGACCGCCTGTCAGTTCAGTCCGGTCGGCCACAACTGCGAGTTTCAGCTTTCGACCATGGGCGTCGGTGTACGCAGGACGGTGGTATTGGCGCGGCGACGGCCCGTGCCGAAAACTCAACTGATCGCTTGCCCGGCGCAGTCCCTGGCGACAGCGCCTCCATTAAATCACACTCGTCTGTCCACGTCGCCCGCGCACCGGCGGGCCAAGGTCCAAGGAATAAAACGGGACGCCACTGTTAGGATTTAATTAATTCTGTTAATTAAAGGGATAATCCTCCCTATGTAATATCTCGTGCGGTTGTTTCTGCAACCGTCGCGACCCACTCTCACGCCCCTGCGAACGGACACATCTCTTCGTTCGCGTCTGTTCCCTTGATCGTCAATGGAATAAGTGACTTGAATCATTTGTCTCTCGTCTCTCTCGTTCTACTCAAAACACGTTATCAGCACGCTCCCGCGGAGCGATTCCATCGGCGCTCAACAGCGAGAACGAAGAAACATGAAAGCGGCAACGTCGTGGAGCAACTCCGGCGATCTCCATCTACAGGTGTATCGCTGCCTTGGAGCGATTGGATTAGGAGTCAAGCCCAAGAGCATTGGAGAATCAAGAACAGATAAGGTATGAGCCTGTAGATCCCACCGTGGCAACGCCCGCCAGCGCCGTGGCCGTCCCTAGCCGCGTCGGCACCGCTCCCCAGCCTCCGCGACCGCGCCCGCCCGAGCCAGGCCGTGGTCGGCTCCGCCCGGCCACACCGCGCCTCGCGCCATCGCCGTCTGATCGCGCCGGCCGCCCCGCGCCTCGGTCGCGCCCGTCCGCTCGGCCGCCACCCTGTCGCGCCGCGCCCGTCCGCGCCACCGGACGCGCGCCCTCCGCGCCCGGCCGCCCGGTTGCGCGCGTGGGCGTCATGATCTGTTGATTCAATGAGTGATTTCTGGAGCATTTCCTCGTTCAGGCACATCAACGAAAACAACCAATGATGCAAAGGGAAGTAACTACCTTGTATAATTTCCTAATCTCCATTACGTTGTAACTAGCGGCCGGTGCCGCTAACCGTCTCGCCATCAATGCAGAAGCAACTTGCTCGTCGAGGACGCATGCAGTAGCAGGCGCGGTGGAGAACCCAGCCTCGGCGTACTCGCCGGCCACTACGACGGAGACACGCGGCGTTCCCGCACTCTGTCAAATGTGATGCGCCCTCCCCATCACGACTTGCGGTGGAGATTGCAGCGGCGCCTTCGGCGCAGTTCGCTCCCGCGGCTCCTACTCGACGACGTGGTGAACCTCTGCCCTGGGGTGCGGCGCTATCCGCTGACCCCACTCCTCCAGGTGCGGCCAGCCGTGGCGGAGACGGAGCAGGCTCTCCCTCCGCCTGGCAGAGTGCAGCCTGCACCCGGCGCTGGCCAGGCCCGAGCCCGTCGCGAGGCTTCCTCCGGCATGGTTCCCAGAAGCGGAGACGACGGTGCGGCCACAGCAGCGGCCCCTCCCGCGACGGAAGCAGCGGCCCCTTCCGCCGGCGGAGCCCATCTCGAATGGCTGTGGCGTAGAAAATTCCCCATTGGGAATTTCATATCCGCACAGGAGGAAGAAAGGAAATCTTATCCTTTCAACCATTTCTGGATTTAGTCCTCTGACTTTATCTTAATGCTAAATACGTCCAAGTAAATTCTGATTCGATCCTCAGGCTTACGAATCTTTGCAGTTTAGCTCTACACTTTACTGTATTTTACAATCGAGCCATCTGGCTCCTTGGACTTTGCATTCTCAACCCTTTTTCTGTTGAGTTTTAAAATTCCGGAAATATGCGTATGTTGATACTTGACATGTTCAATGTGTTTACTACATATCAGATTCTTTAGAACATGTTTCCCGCGATTGAGATTAAATTTTCTCGCACAACAATATATATTTGCGATTGAGAATTATTATTTTCTCGCAAAACAACCTCATTGTGATTGAAATTAATTTTCTCTCACAAAATATTATTTCACTTTGCTGAATTATCTTGCAACTTGATACAAGATCATTTCATTTAATTTGAGGTCAATACAATTCAAGGTTTTCACTTGAACATCAAGTTTGCAACATCATTACTATTCATTACAATAGTAGTGTTTTTCTGTTGAGTACCGATATGTATTCCAGATCTTAAGTTGATGTAATACATTTCCACGCTTATCACGTGTTGAGATTAATTATGTCCATTTGCAATAGAGATTTTTAATCTCTTGCAAAGATAAATTCAGTACCTCTGCAGTACTGTTTCTCTGTTGAGTACACAGTATTCCGGAATATTTCTATGATGTATCTATTTCCATGTTAAACACATGTCGAGAATAATACATCTATTTGCAATTGAGATTTTCAATTTCTTGCAAATACATACAGCGGTCGAGATTGACTTCTCCCGCACAACAAACTTGTAAATTTTTGACAATAACATCTCCCTCATTATATTAGGAAAACATAAGGTAATGAGTTGGATCTTCTGCCCATGTGCAGACTATCTCTATTACTGTGAGATCTGTATGATCTTCAATGTGTTATGTTCCCATAATTGAGGTTGAGCATTTTCAAGTTATACACTTGAGTCAAATTTTTGCATTCTTACTACAAAATCATGATGGTTTTTAATTTATTTCTTGTAAATTAATTATCTCTGGCTTGCCCCTATAAGTAATTGATGCCTAACAATTTGAGGCACTTGCCCTCAATGACCACAACTTACTTAAGCGGGTCATGGACATTAAGATCAGTCTTGCATCCTATGGGATAGCGCGTGCAATCCAAGACACGCCACCGGGATGCAAAGGACCTCAAGGGTAATGGTTTGAAACTCACTTCAAACCCTCAACCGGACACCATCAAGCTGTCACGAGACCCTATGAGCATGGAGAGCATGATGGTTGAATATGCATCAACTGACATGTTTGGAGACTATATATTTAGTCCCTTAGTCTTCTTAGTGATCTATTTATTTATGTCCATTTATGATGTTCTAATAAGAACATGATTATTGTTGTCATCATATATTGTATATCACAATATACTGTATCAGCACTGAAAGGATCGATATGGTTGACTAGAGAGGGGGGGGGATAGGCAACTAACAATTTTTAAGCTTTTCTTTACCAAATTAAACTTTGCAACAAATAGGTTGTCTAGATATGCAACTAAGTGGGCAACCTATATGATGCAATAACAACTAGCACACAAGCAAACAAGAGATGTAACAATAAGTAAGATTGCGAAAGTAAAGGCACGAAATAACCAAGAGTGGAGCCGGTGGAGACGAGGATGTGTTACCGGAGTTCCTTCCTTTTAAGGGGAAGTACGTCTCCGTTAGAGCGGTGTGGAGGCACAATGCTCCCCAAGAAGCCACTAGGGCCACCGTATTCTCCTCACGCCCTCACACGATGCGAGATGCCGTGATTCCACTATTGGTGCCCTTGAAGGCGGCGACCGAACCTTTACAAGCAAGGTTGGGGCAATCTCCACAACAATCGGAGGCTCCCAACAACAACAACAACAACACGAAGCTTCACCACAATGGAGTATGGCTTCGAGGTGACCTCAACCATCTAGGGTGCTCAACACCCAAGAGTAACAAGATCCGCAAGGGATAAGTGGGGGAATCAAATATCCTTTGGTGGAAGTGTAGATCGGGCCCTTGTCACCCAATCCCGAGCAAATCAACAAGTTTGATTGGCTAGGGAGAGAGATCGAGCGAAAATGGAGCTTGGAGCAACAATGGAGCTTAGAGGTGGAAGAGGTAGTCAACTAGAGGTAGAAGACATCCCTTATATAGTCGTGGAAAAAATCCAACCGTTATCCACTAGTTCTGCCCGCGACTCACGGTACTACCGCTCCAAGGACGCGGTACTACCGCGGCGCCGCGCGGTACTACCGTGGACCACCACGGTACTACCGTGGCAACTGCACAGGCCGGAACAAGCCTAAAGAAGGAGCAGTACTACCGCTTGCGCGGTACTACCGCTCCCCCTTGCGGTACTACCGCAAGGCAGGAGGGTCACGGCCTGGGAAGGGCGCGGATGAAATAAATTACATCTGTGCTTACTTCCGCAGAAACTAGGATGGTGCAAAATCCCGACGCGGTACTACCGCTTGCGCGGCGCGGTACTACCGTGGTCGGCGCGGATGTAAAAAATTACATCCGCGCCTACTACCGCGACACTGCGGTACTAGGCAGAAGGGCCACGGTACTACGACTCCAAGGGAGCGGTACTACCGTGGGCCCCCGCGGTACTACCGCGCTGGACGAGCGGTACTACTGTGGGGGGGCGCGGATGTAAAAAATTACATCCGCCCCTACTACCGCACCGGAGCGGCACTAGACCAGGGTGCCGCGGTACTACCGCACCAGAGGGGCGGTACTACCGTGAGGGGTGCGGATGTAAAAAATTACATCTGCCCCTACTACCGCACCGGAGCGGCACTAGGCCAGGGTGCCGCGGTACTACCGTGACGCGCCGCGGTACTACCGCTTGTACCTGCAGTACTACCGCAAGTACAGCAGTAGTCGCCAGTTTTTCACACAACCAAGATAACGACGGGTAGCTCCAAAGTGCAAGGAAAGGAGGGACAAGTGTACGTGTGATTCCACCCTACCTTTCCGACGCGGACCCCCTCTTAATAGTATGGCTCTCCTACGACTCAACTCCACCAAAGAGAAACGTAGAACCACGCCGGCTTCAACAGTCTCCGAGGGGCATCGAATCGTCATGTGCCTAATGATGAAGTATCTGAGGGACTCAAGGCACACGATTAGTCCGCACGAGTATTGTCATCAATCACCAAAACACTTAGGAATAAATATGCCCTTACAATCTCCCCCTTTTTGGTGTATTGATGACAACACAAGATTTGCACATAGATTAGATATTTTTAGAGCAGTGGAAAACCCCACTTCTCTAAAATATAGACGGGGCTCCCCCTAGATGTGTGCACTTTAGATGAATGCTTTGGACTGCATGGCACACAAACTAGGATCAACACTCCCCCTATATTTTAGAGACCAAGACATGATAATAAGCATAGAATAGCATGAAAGTAGCACAATATAACACAAGCTAGCTAGGATAGATAGAGTGCATATATGTCTTACACCATACGAGGTAAGATAACCAAGGTTCAAACGAGAAAAACAGCAGAGAGTTCAACTGAAAGCAGCAAACACATGACACACAAACTCGCAAATCCCTACACTCTCTCCCCCTTTCGCATCGAGACGCCAAAAAGGCAGAGAGGACACCTAAACACACAAGAGGTGGCTCAAGCAGAGAAGTTGTCCCACGCCTCTTCGTCAGACGCCTCTGCAGCTGGAATAGACTCCTCGAGCTCCTCCTCAGAATCAGTCCACCTGTATCCTTGCTTCTCCATCCACTCGGTCTCGGGAGTGATGTGCTCCTCAGACCCGCCAGACACATCCTCGCCATAGAGCTGCAAGACCTTGTTGTGCCGGCGACGACTCTCCTTGGACTCCACGTGAGCCCTGTACTGGCCCTTGGCTTGCATGCAGAAAAGAGACTTCATCTTATCCTTCAACTTCTTGGCCCAAGATGGCCTAGAGTCACTCTGAGAGGGCCTAGCAGAACGGCCCCCAGCAACATTCTCAACGCCAGCAACATCCTCATCAACAGCAGCAGCCCTAGCAGCAGACGCCTCAGCACGAGTAGCGGTGTTAGCCCAGTTGGGTTTGACCCTCAGACAAATGGGCTCATGGCGAATCCAGTCTGGAGCCAGGAACTCCTCCTCAGGGTACATCTTCTCCCAAGTCTTCGAAATCAGCAGAAACAGGTAGGGCCCATAAATAGGCACCTTGCGGTTGAACACAGCAAACCGAAGCTCACACCACATGATGTGAGAGACATCAAGTGGCTGAGTCTGAGACGAGCGAGCCTCCTGGCAAATAAGCATCATGTCCACCATATAGGCATGAACCTTGTCTTTGTCACCGATGCGTGGGAACAAGGAGTTGCGGAAGATGCGGTACATGATATCCAGAAAGGGGTTGAGAACCAATATTGTCTTGCTATTGGCGAGCGTCTTCTCAACCATGAACGGGGTGAGCTTGTCCTTGTCAGCAGAGTCAGCATTGCCGTGAGGGCGAACACCCACAGGAGTGTCAAGTCCATCATCAGCAACTTGAAGCAAATCCATGAACTCCTTCCACGTAGCAGACAGCTTGCGGCCGTTGGTCATCCAGGTCATCCTTCTTTCTTCATTGGAGTGAAAGTACACTGAAGCAAAGAACTGACATATGATCTCAGGGTCATAGTCCAGGTGGAAAGAGATCACATGCTCAATGCCAAACTGCTCCACCAAGTCCAGAGCCTCCCCAAAGTAGTAACGGAACTTGTCCTTCCTCATGTGGTGCATGTCGATCCACTTCACTTCCACATAGGTATTCTGCTTATTCTTGATGTCATCCAAATAGATCTGGGTTTGGGTCTTGTTCCAGAACAGTTCACACCCTCTGACAGTGGAACGTGGGGTCACATAAGGGTGAAGTTGCCTGAGACGGACATACTCTTGAGGGCCTATCTCATCCATACCCCTGGTGGGCTCCTTGTGCTTGCTAGCTGTGGTCTTGACACTTCGCTTGG